TAAAAGCATTCACTGGAGACAAGGAGACGAATTAGACTGTTTTAAGAGTGTAAAAATTGATGATAGAGACAGGAATAAATAAATCAATGAGTTCAAAGGACACTCGGATGACAGAATTAAAGGACTTTCTTCTGTAAGACATTGGGTACTTTTTCTCTTCCCTTTCTCTTTCCATTCCTTTCTTTTTTTCTTTCTCCCACATTAAAAAGTAATCTTGAAATAAGTTTACCTGGAAACAAAAAGTAAAATAATAAGAAAAAGAGGACATTAAGATACAACAGTAAATTGAAGACACATGAATTTTTTTAAGTAGGTGTATAGGACATAAAACGTCCTGCATTAGTAAAAAGGGTAAGAGAAACTGGCTCTTAATATCCTAGTAACCTGAAGAAAGGGAACAGAACAACTGTAATATTCACACTGAATATTGCAGTTACTCAGAACTGAAGTTCCTGAGCAACCAGTAGACTCTGTAGCCAAACTGCCTGGGCTGATTGACCCACACTTGCAAGAGCATTGAAGCCATCGAGCCATAGTTTCTCTCTCTTTGAGATGGGATAATAACACATCTCTCATACATGGCCAGAAAGATAAAAATCTTTCACTAAAGAAAATTTTTTGAACAGCCCCTATGTCCTAGAAAATGTTGTTTCTAGTCACTGGAAATCCCTCAGAGAAAAGGTAAACAATAGGTAGGGCCCAGCAGTTTCAGTGCTTATGTTCTGCTGAAAACTGGCTTTGGGTGAAAGGCTGTGGCAGCAATAAAAAATAAGTAGTATGTGGAGGAAGGTATAATATCTGATATCAGAAAGATGTCAATTTCATCTAAATTTATGCATTCAAAGCCATCTCAACAATCATACTAGAAACATTCTTTTTAAAGGTAGATAAACTGATTTTAAGTTCATATGAAAAAAATGAGTAAATCAGACTAGCAAAGAAAATTTTTGAAGGAGAATAATAATGAAAGGGGATAGTCTTATATATTTTTAAATAGTTTATGATTACAATAGTTGAAATAGAGTGACATTAGTGACTGTATAAAGAGGAATATTTAAACAGTCTAGAATATTCTCTTGGAGATGCATATAATTAAGAATTTGGTGTTTGATAAAGGAATTATTTTAAATATGTGAGTGAAAAGCTGGTTATTCAATAAGTTGAATAACTGGGTAGATATTTGGAAAAAAGAAAATTTGATCATAGAAGAGAGAATGAGTACTTTGTACCTATATAAAATATTAGTTCTAAAATACCTGTAAATGGGGCTTGGGAAGGCAGTTTATAGGCTTCCTTTAAACATAGCAAGGTAGCTGTAAAAATATATATAAACAAAAAGCTTAACTTGTGACTATCAATCATGGTATTTTTTTCTTTGTCTTTTTATTTCTTTTATGTATTCAAAAGTATAAGAATATTATCATGAATGTGCATGTACCTAGCATTCCAGATTAAAAAATTAAACATTTCAGATGTTTGAGAAATCTCACATCTACTGCGTCTGATCGACTTTTCCCTTTATTTTCTGAGACCTAGTTAACTATAACATTGAATCTAGAGACACTTACTTTATTTAACATTGTATATTTAAGATTTCTCCATGATGTTTTATAAACACTGGAACTTGTATTTTCACTGGTACCCATATGGATATTTCCTTATTCATTTACCTATCCATGTTTCTTGTTGTTACGTGTACTTAAGATTGTTAATATATATTTTTTTCTTTTCTACTGGCAAATACTTTTCAGGTTTGTGTTGAGTCTATACCCAGAATCTAACCTGGTCCAAAGCACAATCATCTAGCTGAAGCATCACAATGACCTATAAGAGCATATATAATAACCTAACCTAATGATCATCATCACAATTCACCAATTGTTGGTCCTTCTTCAATTATTCTAACATATTGACCAGAAGAATTTTTGTAAAATACAACGTGTTAGCGCCTGTCCTTGAAATCCTCCTTTGGCTGTCAGATCATCCCAAATAAAGATCAAAGATATCATTGTAAAGTTTGATATACTCCTGGATGACCCCTCTTCCTAGCCAGTTACTTCCCTAGCCTCATTTGTTCCTCCTCCCTCAACTCCAGCCAAACTGGCTTCCCTGCTCTTCCTTAGCCACACCAAGAAGTCCTCCATCTCAGAGACATACTTGTAGTTACTTCTGCCTAGAGTGTCCTCTTCCACATATCTATGTAGTTACCTGTTTTAAGCCTGTCAGGATTTTTACACAAATGTCACCCTCTCAATGAGATGCTCTTCAATCACGCTATTTACATTTTATTCTGCCCCTTAAAATATTACTTTCCTCTCTGTCTTATTTTTGTTAGTCTTTCCCCACTAGCCACTCCAGGAGAAAATGTTCTCACACTTTTTGTTAACTGTTAAAACCTTTGAATCTAAAACCCTTCCTGGAACTTCACAGTGGGAACTGGATATACCCATCAGCATTAGATGGACTTTCTAATGTCTAACATTTCTTAAGCAAATAATGTGAACTGAAAAGCAAAAAAATTATATAGAGAGGGTGCCAAAAAGTGTATATACATCTTAAGAAAGGAAAAAAAAAATTGATACTCAAGTCACATTTGACATCTCCAATTACAAGAGGCTCAAAGGTGACTTGTATCCATCTTTTGTTATTATTATATGTTGAGTATCATTTTAATACAGTATTTTTCTTTCTTAAAATGTGAATACATGTGGTTGGCACCCTCTGTATTTGCATTTAATTGCACTTAGCGGTTGTTGGTTACCTATTAGAGTCTTTGAAGAAATCATTACGAAAGGAAATCCTAAAGAAATCAAATTCTGAGGAAACAAAGTTTTCTGAGGTAAAATTTATGAATATAAAATAGCAAGACAACAAGCAAATGACTTGAAGAAATTCATCTGAGCTGTCCTTGTCTCAGCCCATTCATTTCTGGTCCCTTTCAAGTTTCCACATTGTGTTTCCATTTCGATTTATGAATCTCTTGAATAGCTTTTAGTACCATGGAATGATAATTATTTGTCCCTTTGCTGCCTTTTGGTTCTCAGACAAATCCTGATAAATCACCTCTTCTTACATTTTCAGCCCTTTGGCTTGGTTTTGTCTTTGCTAAGTACCATCCTGACAAATTATAATGTTCCACACACAAAGATAAATTTGTTTCTACCAAAGGGGACATTTTCTCCACAGTATCAATCATTCTTATGAAGTAGTGATGGACGTAATCATATGCAATCAATAATCAAATGTTAGAGTTCCCATTTCCAGAAAGATACTAACATTGTGGAAGAATGTGTAAAGGTTTTAAGGGGATTATGTGATAGGTTTACTAGGAATGTCGAAAGTGGCTCCATTTAGCAATTGGGAACATATACCAGCAAAATAATACTGAGAGCTAACATTTACTGAGTGTTTTCCATAATCTCAGCAACTCCTAAGTGATTTATTTGTTTTACCTCAGGCTGATACTATTTTTCACAGAAAAGATAAAGAATCACTGCAAAGATAAATAACTCGTGGAAGATTGCAAAGCTGGAGCCAGATCAAGTAATAAGACTCCAGGGCTTAGGCATACTTAAGGACTAAGACACAAAGCAAACTTTGAAAATATATGAATATTTAAAGCTTACTGACATATTCAAAATGTTTATAAATATTCCATCTCCATAATAGTCTTTTAGACAACATTTAGAGTTTAAAATGCTTCTTGAATCCTAAATGATGTAGTTAAGATTTGTCTCTGCTTTCATCCATTCAGAATCCATAGATTATGATAAAATATTTTGATTTGGGTATATTTATCACTTTGCTTTGCAAATGTGTGTTTCTCATACTAGTGGAGTTCATAAGCTCTATTTAGAAAAAGTAAATGAATTCATTGTGTAAAATGGAAAATGATATTTATATATTCATTCCAAATTTCTCATAAATTGAATCTTCAGCGCATTTCTAAGGCTACTGAGTTAAGTGGGCCAAAGTGGAACATTTTAGAACAAAAGAAAATATACCTTCTATAAATTTTTCTCTTTAAAAATACATTTGATCATCTATTTTGTAGACTGTCTCAGTCAGTTCAGGCTGCGATTACACATTAACATAGACTGGGTGGTTTTAAGCAACGGAAGTTTATTTCTCACAAGGCCAACATCTGCCTGCCTGCCTATATATTTAGTCCCGGTGAGGGCCATCTTCTGGATTGCAGATTGCTGACTTCTCATTGTGTTTTCTCTTGGTAAAAAGAGAGCTGTCTAACTTTTTGGACTTTTTTTCATAAAAGCACTAATTCTAATCATGAGGGTTTTACCCTCATGACTCCACCTCCAAATACCATCACATTGGGATTAGTGTTTAAACATATGAATTTGCAGGGGATACAAACATTCAGTGCATTGCAGAACCCTTACTTTGATCACAAAGAAATGTCTTTTCTTGCTTGCTACACAATTGGAAGAATACCATTGCTTTGACCAGAACAGAAATTAAGAGCATGTTTTCTATGATGTGAAATGATAAATTGAAATAGATAGATTTGTAATTTTAGATACAGAACAAAATAAAATACCTATGGGAGCCAAGCCAGTGTCATAAATGAGATAAAGTCAGCTACATTATGATAACTGTACAGTGAATTTTGTGTATAGGATGTGCATGACAAGATATACGTAAAGAGTGACGAAAAATAAAATGTTATGTCTTATTGACTAATGTTTAGACCAAATGCTTTCCAGGTTCATTAACTGGATCCTGAAAAAACTTCCACTTTCTAGGGAACTGCCATTTCTCAAGCTTACATGTATAAATAGAATGTTAATTTCCAAATGTTTGTAGAGAACGCTTGCATGTAGTGTCATCATTCAAGTTCAAAGCACCATGCCACTACTTCTGCAAGTAGTGCCCCTCAGTTCTTACAGCTGGGAAACAGTTGTGTGACAACAGCTGTTCTTTTAACCACATTCACTGTTTTTCTTTTTGTGTGTGTGTATGTGTGTGTGCTTGTGTTGCAGAGAAGGCCAGCAATCACCAGAACAATGGCAGAAGATGTACGGTAGATGCTCTGGGAATGAAGTCTACCACATTGTTTTGGAAGAAAGTACATTTTTTGCTGAATATGAAGGAAAGAGTTTTACATATGCCTCTTTCCATGCTCACAAAAAGTATGTTCTGTTTCCAGAATGAAATTAAAATATCCATCAATCAATTGAGAATACCATTTATACACAGTTTTTAAAATATAAGCCTTATGTTCGTGCTCATGATTATCAAGTATTCTAGAATTTTTGACATGATTTTGCAATATTTTAATTCCAGCCCCTATGTGAACTTGTCAAGTTTAGATTGTTAGGAGTAAATTATAATTTAACAGGACATTTTACTAAATAGTCCTTTCTTAAACTCTCATTTTAAAACATTATAATTCATCAGGTTCACAAATAAATGAAAATGAACCTTTTTTACAGATCTAAATTTTAAAGTATTATTTATAAACATGAACAATATAACAATAACTTATGAATTGATGTCTGTTGGTGGCACTTGCTTTAGCCAGAGAAATCAGTTATAAAATAAATGATGCTGGGCAGCGCCTGTGGCTCAAAGGAGTAGGGTGCTGGCTGCGTATACCAGAGGTGGTGGGTTCAAACCCGGCCCCAGCCAAAAAATGCAAAAATAAATAAATAATAAATAAATAAATAAATGATGCTACCTTCCAGTTCAAATTTGGAACATTATTTTTTTCATTCCTTTTTGTGAAAAATTATTTACATAAAAAATAGAAATGTATTTATATCATGAAAATAAACACATTATCTGCACTAAAAAATGTATTACTATAACATAGTTGTGGGATTTATAATGCACTACTCTATTACACTATCTAATATGTAATGTTCAGGTGGTCTCTGACTTATAATACCTTTTGACTTTTTACTCTACAGTGGTATAAATACTATACACATTCTGTAAAAACCACACTTTGATATCCATACAAACATTCTGTTTTCACTTTTAGTATAGTATTTAATAAATTACATTAGCTATGTAATATTTTATTATAAAATAAGCTTTATGTTGGATGATGTTGCCTAGCTATAGACAGCAAAATGTTCTGAGCATGTTTAAGGTAGGCGAGGCTAATGATGTTTGGTAGGTTAGTTATACTATATGCATTTTTGACTTTGGATTTTCAACTTATGAAGGGTTTATTGAGATATAACCCCATGATAAGTAGAGGAGCGCCTGTATTCTCCTTTAATTTTAAACTATATTTACATTGTAACACATTAAGACACAGTGAAATAAAAATATTTAGGAGAATTTGTGTTTGGAAAGTAACCAAAAATAGTATATAAGAATTTTGTCATAAGCCTGTTATAAACATTGTTATTTCTACCAATTAAACTGCACACCTATTTAGGACTTTTAAAAATGTTTTTGTAAAATTCCATGTAAACCAGTGTGATAGAAACAGTATTAAAACAAATTCAGGTACCGTGGTTCTCTCTTAAGTCACCTTGGGTAAGTTTCTTTTCTTTTTATTTTTGTTTTCCTTTCAACCAATAATGCTAAAATTTTTTTGGCCAACATAAGAAATACTGTTTATATATTTTGACCAAAGAAAATGTTTTGTAAAAGTTTACAAAAAAATTATACCTTTACTATATTACACGCACCTTCATGTTTTCTATTCTTTTTCAGTAAAATATTCATTTATACTTGTCATAATCAATTGAATTGATTTAACAACACACTAAAAACTGAATTTATTTTCCTATTTATATAAAAAAGGTATCATGAACTTCTAGGATTCTTTCCAGGTTTAAAATGCTGTGATTTGGAGTTTTATTTTTTCTCTGCCTTAAAGTAGACTAATAATTTTATTACATATGTAAATGTAAAAAGAAAAAAATCAAAATTGCTAAATTACAATTCTTAAACTCTTTTATTTTCTTTTTTAAATTAAGGTTTGGTGTCTGTTTGATTGGTGTTAGGAGGGAGGATAATAAAAACATTTTGCTGAATCCAGGTCCTCGATACATTATGAATTCTACAGACATATGTTTTTATATTAATATTACCAAAGAAGAGAATTCAGCATTTAAGAACCAAGATCAGCAGAGAAAAAGCAATGTGTCAGGATCGTTTTATCATGGACCTTCCAGATTACCTGTACATAGCATAATTGCAAGCATGGGTAAGTATGAACAAGTTTAAAAATGTGATTAGTTTATTTCTAAAATAAAAAAAAAATATGCACTCTAAGTTTTATTAAAATTTCAAAGTCAAATTTTAAAATGCATGTGTGTTACTCAAATTAGGTTTGATTAGGCACAAAAGATTATAGATCTTTATTTAGAACAATATCTCTAAACTGTTAGGTTGCTCAAAAAATAAGACATTATAAAAATGTTACCAATAATTATTTTATTTCTCTTATTACTCTGTAAGCACCTTACACTTTTATATGTCTCTTTTAAGTTCTCTGTCTAGTTTCCAATAGAGGCCATGTGAAATAATCTTCACTTGTGTCAAAATTCTCTTTCCATTGCCATCTTTCTCTCAACATTGAACTTGGTTTCTATGGCACAGAAGAAAAAAAAGAAAAAAATAGATATCGACAAGTAAGAATTTCCCAAAAGTATTAACTCAAACTTGCTTTCCCCACAATATATTCAACTACCTACTGGTTACTTCTATTTGAGTATATTGCAGGAAAACTAATGCAGCATATTCAAATTGAAATCATCTCTCCACTTTCATTCAACACCATCATTTCCTTTGTTGTTATTATTTTGCTAAAAATTAGATGACGCCATTTTCTACCAATTTGTAAAGTCATGGTTGTAACTTTTTGCCAGTCCTCTCTTCTAGTACTTCATAATTAAAATAATTGAATTATGTTAAATCTGTTCAATCTGATTAGTATATAGTTCCTAAAATCACTCAGTTCTTTCCATGTCCACTACCAATGTAATTATGGCTGCACCTCCATTGTCCTCTCCCTGAACTGTAGTATCAACACACTTATTTTCTTCCCATGTCTTTAGTCTTACTGCTGTCTTATACTTTATTCTTCACCCTGCAACCAGAATAATATATATATCTTTATATATATATATATATATATTTTTTTTTTTTTTTTTTTTTTTTTTTTTTTGCAGTTTCTGGCTGGGGCTGGGTTTGAACCTGCCACCTCTGGTATATAGGGTCAGCACCCCACTCCTTTAAGCCACAGGCACCACCCCACAATAATATTTTTAAAACATAATTGTAGTAATGTCAGTCTCTTGAATACATCATGTTATTGATTTCTGCTACCCATTTGGAAAAAGCCTCAATTCTATAGTCTAACATGGCTTTTAAATAGGATAACCAAAAGTTCTTATTTTGATGAGATAATCTCAATTTTCCTAGGATAGTGACATTGTTTATATAGCTTCCTGATGTAATTATTTGAAAAGCACCCTCTTTCACTCTCGGGAGTATCCTAGTTTAGAAGATAAATTACAGAATCACTTTAGTTACACATTTTTTATTAATGATTCATTCTGATTTTCTAACCCCACGATTTATCAGTACTCCAATTATTCTCTTAATCTCCAATCACACTAAATTACTTTCAGTCTTCATTAACATTTTTTAACCAATGAGCCTTGATGTGTTAAATTTCATCTGACTGGAACTATTCCCCATGTCTCAACATTACCCAAGTAACTGCTTGTAATCCTTTATATACCACTCTCTCCAAGAACTATTCCATGGTCCCACATAGACCTTGCTAAGTGACCCTATTTGTCATTGATAAAACATATCATTTTTATTGTACAGTAATGCTACTCCCTTATTTAATATGTTCAACAATTATTTATTGAGCACTTGATATATTCCAGGAACTCTAATAAATATTTGTGATTTAGGCTCAGCACCTGTAGGTCAAGTGGCTAGAGCGCCAGCCACATACACCAGAGCTGCTGGTTTGAACCCAGCCTGGGCATGCCAAACAAGGATGATAACCACAACCAAAAAATGGCTGGGCATTGCACCTATAGTCCTAGCTACTTGGGAGACTGAGGCAAGTCTGAGAGTTGGAGATTGCTGTAAGCTGTGACACCACAGCACTCTACGGAGGGCAACAGCTTGAGACTCTGTCTCAAAAAAAAAAAAAATTGTGATTTAAAAAGAGTGAAGACACAAAGATTCCTGGTTCACAGAACTTACACCACATTCCATCCTGGGGAAGACTGGCAATAAAAAACATATATTTTTTAAAAAGTAAGTTATTTAGTATGTTCAGAGGTGATAAATTATAAGAGAAATATAAAAGGAGAAAACAGAGGTAATGGATGAGATTATGAATTCTGGGATAAATGGATTTTTTAAATGAGATAATTAATAGGCCTCAGTGAGAAGGAGACCTTCGAGCAACTAATTGAAAGAATGAGGAATTAGTCCTGTGGATGTCTGGAGGAAGAGCACTCCTGGCAGAGACAGCAGCTCACATAAAAGCTATAAAGTGGGAGCCCAAGTGAGTGCCCTAGGAGTAGTGCAGATGACCTTGTGGCTGTAGCATCATGAGTGCTGGAAGAGCAGGAGAGGAGGAGGAAGAGGTAGAAAGAGGCCAGGTCATGTTTGGCTTCTTAAAACCATGTAAGAATTAATGCTTCTAGTCTGGGTGAAGTGGGAATCACAATGAAAGGCTGCCATAAGGGGAAAACCAATTCAGTAAATTCAAAGAAATGAGAGGTCAGAGTGAGAGAAGATTCAGCAGATTATATTTTGAAAACAAAACACTGGATGAGGCTTCTAAGATTCATGTTTTGAATCCCTGGCCCTCCTCTGTGCCTCAGAATGTGAGCTTTTTTAGAGAAAAGGTTTTTCCAATATAACTAGTATGCTTAGAGAAAAAGAAATTTAGACACAGATATGCATAAGGGGAAGGTGATACAAAGAGACATAGGGAGACAAAGCTGTCTACAAGGCAAGGAGCGAAGCATGGAACAGATCCTTCCCTCCCAGCCCTCAAAAGAAACCAACTCCACCCACACCTTTACCTCCAGAATTATGAGACAATGAATTCCTGTCAAGACACCCAATTTGTAGTATTTTGTTACAGCAGCGCTTGCAAACTAACAAAATAGTATTGGAGAAACTGACCAGAATCATTAAGAAATAAGTAGAATGATCCAGGGTTGATAAACAATCAAAATAATGAAAGATAGCAGCTCCTAGAATAAAAATACATGATACAAAGCTGGAAATTTTGCAGAGGATAAAAGGAAAATGATTCGGAAGAGGCAGCGACACTATTGAGGACATAGACTCATCTCAAACACAGCCATTGCAGGAGAAAGACCTCAGGGAGGACCCAGGTTTTGTTAGGGAAGGAAAGTTTCAAAGAATATCTTGTTTCTATAACAGTAACTGCATTTTCCGTTGTGTCTTTCTTACTGAATTCTGACTTTCTCATATCCCAGTGTTCAGCCTGGTGCCACATATTAGTGTTGCCAGAAATATTGAGATGTGATGAAAGATGAATCTATTTATATATGGCTCTTTCAAGAAGTTTGCCTGTGTTAGGCAGAAAAGTGACAAAGAAGTGGTTGGAGGCCGGGCGCCATGGCTCACGCCTGTAATCGTAGCACCCGGGGAGGCCGAGGCAGGTGGATTGCCTGAGCTCTGGAGTTGGAGACTAGCCTGAGCAAGAGTGAGACTCACCTCTACTAAAAATAGAAAAATTAGTCCAGCATCATGGCAGGAGCCTGTAATTCCAGCTACTTGGGAGGCAAGAGGAACTCTTGAGCCCAGGAGTTTTAGAGTTTGAGGGTGCTGTGAGGTATGATGATTCCATGGCACTTTACCCTGGTGACAGAGTGAGACTCTGTCTCAAAAAGAAAAAGAAGTAGTTAGAGGTGTTGAGGGTGTCATACATGTAGGGGAGAAGATGTTGAGAGATTTCAATCCCTTAGGAAATATGAGGGAACTTAATCCATAGCACAAGAGTAGGGATTAGTTTTACATAAACAGAAATGTAAATAGAAGTGAGGGAAGAAATGCTTGATGAAGCTCTCACTTGTTTGAACAGGGAAAAGTTCTTCTATGATAATTTCTCTTTTCTCTCTGAAGCAGATAACATAGTCAAGTGCAGAGGGTAAATGTAGAAAGTATCAATTTGTTTTCACAGTATTAGGATGCAAATCCTAGTATAGGGCTTTCCTTTATTATTTTATAGATTAAACTTATAAATTTTAAATAAATAAAATCAACTCATTTGCTTAACAGTTTAATTTTATCACCTCTGGGAACCTCCCTCCCTCACCAAACATGGATTGGATTATAAATTAATCCTGTGTTTAGATGCTGAAATTAGGAAAGAGGGAATACATCTACAATGTCTGACAGCACCCTCATTGACTGTTCTGATCTTGAAACTGCTGACTGCTGGTCTTCACATCTTTCACTTAGACAGATATGTTTCAAACAGATCATGTATATCCCTTCATGGAAGATTTCCCCACTCTCTACAGCAGCAATTCTCAACCTGTGGGTCACGACCCCTTTGGGGGTTGAATGCCCCTTTCACAGAGGTCACCTAAATACATCCTGCATATCAGATATTTACATTACAATTCATAACAGTAGCAAAATTTACAGTTATGAAGTAGCAATGAAAATTATTTGAGGGTCACCACAACATGAGGAACTCTAATAAAGGGTCACGGCATTAGGAAGGTTGAGAACCACTGGTCTACAGGCTACTATCCTCTTTCCCAGTACACAGAGCACTGTGTATACGAAGGGGTACCAGCCTTTGAAAATTAACTCTCAGATTTTTTCCAATTGTAAGGAATACCCATGTATTCTTATCAGTCTTGTAATTCCCCTGAAAAAGCTTTTAGACATCAGTTCCTAACCTCTTTTATGATACAAAAAGAAAGATGCTAAAATCCATTAGCCTTTTCCTCTCATAAAAAGTCATGCTGTTATGAGGAAGAAGTTTGGAAGGTTAGAAGTTTGAGGAAAATAAAATTTTAAATAGAATTATACCCCACAGAATGGCATTTTGGTCAAAATGAACTGTATAGATGATGTGGACTCATAAGATTATGATAATGTATTTTTACTGTACTTTTCCTTTGTGTGGATATGTTTGGATACACAATCACTTGCCATTGTGTTACAATTTCCACAGTGTTTAGTATAGTAACATTCTGTACAGGTTTGTAGTTTTGGAGCAATAGACTATACCATATAGCCGAGGTATTTAGTAGGATATCACAGATTAGGTCTGTGAAAGTACACTCAATAGAAAAAGGAGGAAAGACATAATGAATAATTTACAAAATAGAAATGATCAACAATAAAATTTAAATTTAAAGAATTGAAGTGCTTTAGTGCCTATATACTTTGGGATTTCACAAAGCTTATGGTTTGTACTATACATAAACTCTCTCAAATGCACTTTTGTATTATCCAGGAAAATGGCCACATGAAAATGAAATAATTAGCTTGCACAACTACAAGCTATGTATATGTGTATGGTGTATGTGTATAATTTCTTCTTATGTTGATTGCATTTTGTTTAACTTTCATCATTAAATGCTCAGTATGTCATATGGATGGCAAATGCCTTGACGGAGCTTCATATTTTTTTGTTTTAGGTACTGTGGCTATAGACTTGCAAGACACAAGTTGTAGATCAGCAAGTGGGGCTACCCTGTCTCTTCCTACAGAGGGAAGCAAAGAAATAAGAAGACCAAGCATTGCTCCTGTTTTAGAGGTTGCAGATACATCATCAATTCAAACATGTGACCTTCTAAGTGACCAATCAGAAGATGAAACCACACCAGATGAAGAAATTTCTTCAAATTTAGAGTATGTTCTTATCCCCTAAGGTGTAAGATTACTGGATCTTGTGCTACTATCCTTAAGTAGTATCTTTGGATACTTTCTTAATAGGTAACGCTCCAGTGTTCTTACCGAAACCCCAGAACAAATGACATTTTTTGCCTAGAGTTTGTTAACATGTCTTATTCTACATATTATTAAATTGCCATTTCCCAAGGAAAGCACAGCAAATGCTTAGCTTTGACCATGCAATTTGAATGTTTGCCATGCCACTTCTATCTTATATGGGCTATGTATGACTTTGATTAAACAGTCTGGCCCATAATTTCTTTATCTATAAACTGGGTATAATTACTACTTCATAACATTTTATGTTGACTGATTGAGATAATGAACAAAAAAATGCTCCTAACTGAACAACGTTTTGTACTGAGCAGGTATTCAATTAGTAGTGATTATTCTTACTAGTAAGACTGATAGTAGAGGCTTTGGTAACATCATCTCTTAACATTTCTACCAGTGTCTTTAATAAAAGTTCAATTAATATTGAATTGAACTAAGATGAACTGAAATATCATTGAAACTTGGAAAGATCTACTTTTTAAAATTTCTCAATTTTTTTCTTCATTTATTATAAGAAACTTTGAGGTGCACTGAGAACAAAATTTACTCTCAGGAAATTAATGGTCTGTGAACTCAAATATTTTTGGAATGCAGGATGGGAACAGGAAGAGGTTTGGCAACCAATATCTTTCCAGGAAGCAGTGTTTTGTGGTGTGATTTAAATTCTTTCTTTAGACTTCTTACAAAATTGAGAAGTAGAAATTTTTTTTTCTGGAAAAATGAAGAGATGTTAAAGTAATTGTGGCTATTCTCAACTTCTAATTTACAAAAGTGTACCTTTGAATTGTAACTTTACATCTCAGCCAAAACTGAGAAAGGTCTAGAAAAACATTTTCAACTAGGTATGAAATTTCATGATCTGGCAGGTAAATTTATTAAAATTGAGAGCTTTCCTTTTGGATAAAGGAGTATTCCTTTCACTAAATTTGTCCTTATTTCGCAATTCTCACTTATGCTGCTACTTTTAGAAGTTTCATTTTGGAAGTCAGTGTAGCAAAAATGCCCAGGTGGCTATTTTTTAATAGTCATCAAACAAACTCAAAATACTATAGTATTTTAGTTATAATTTTGACAAAAACTCTGTTTTTAACTAATTAGTTCAGTTATTTGCTTTTGGCTATGCATTTATGACTAAAAAATATTGATAGAGTGAATCATAATAAACATTTGCTTTTAAATGCATTTTGTAAAAATTAGCATTACTATTTGTTAAAAATTATACCCAAATCTATTCTGAGGGTTAGCAAATTATTCTAGAAAGGAGAATTTAATAAATACATTGTACTTTCTGGTTTCTGTTGCAGCTACTCAACTCTGTTCTTAAAGCACAAAAGTGCACAGACTTAATACATGAAGGAAGTAAGCATGATTGTATTCCAATAAAGCTTTATTTATAGATACTGAAATTTTAATTTCATATAATTTTCACTTGATGTGAAATTTTTTTTTATTTTTTCAACCATTTGGAAATATAAAAACAACTCTTAGTTTGCAAAACTATGTAGTAGGCCAGATGTGATCCCTGGGTTATAATTTATTTACCTCTGTTCTAAACTATCTCTTTATCAAAATATAATTGCAGCACAGAGTTACTTTATCAAAACAGAGGAACATGGTCATAACATGATGTTTCAAATTTGCATGCCTTATCCAGGGATAACATTTTATTTATTTTGCAGGTATGCCAAAGGCTACCCACCTTATTCTCCATATATAGGAAGTTCACCCACTTTTTGTCATCTTCTTCATGAAAAAGTGCCATTTTGCTGCTTAAGACTAGACAAAGTAAGTGCATGCTGCTGTTCTCAAAATATAAAGTTGTAGCATTTTGCAAATTATATGTATATAAATAATTTGTACGATTTTACTAAGATATATTTAAAGGGTATGACTATATTTCAAATATAAATTTAACTACACAAAGTAGTTAGTTTTTTAGGTAGTAGTTTTTTATCTACACTAAAGATTATCTGAATGCTTGATCCTTCTACCAGGCATGTCATGTTTTTAAGGAGGGAAAGAGTTACTAGAATCTCAACCCTGTGAATCCTTAACATCCAAAGTCTTCCCAGATAATTTGTGTATATTATTGTTTCAAATTTCAATTTGGAATAATTCTTCTACATGGTGAAAAGAAGAGTTAGTCCATGAGTAGACACAAGATTTGTTTAAGGGCAGCGCCGGATGCTCAAGGAGTAGAGGGCCAGCCCCATATACTGGGGGTGGGTGGGTTCAAGTCCGGCCCAGGCCAAAACTGCCAAAAAAAAAAAAAAAAAAAAAAAAAGATTTGTTTAAGACTGGACCTGCCTCAGTGTCTTACCTAGTTTCTCCTTTTTTAAAGTTTTTATTATAGTTCTTGGTTCCTGCCTGAATTTTCCAGAGAAGCTGTCCAAAAGAAGAAAATTCCAATAATACCAGAATTTTATCTTTTTCACAATGTAAACATTGGGTTGACTAGTAGGATTTTTTTTCTCTTGAATTATAAGAAAACAGATAAATAGAAGAAACTTACACTCACTCTAGAGATTCAAATGTGCCTCTAATGATAGCCAGGGAATTATTTTATTCTAAACTTCGAAGTTAGAGTTAAAATCACAGTTCTTTGATTGAAAACTGTGCAACTTGGCAAATAATTTCATAAATCATTTTCAGTTTCTTTATCTCTAAAGTAGATAGAATTTTAATATGACTGTCATTAGTGCTCTTAGGATTATATAAACTGGTACATGTTTAATAAAATAAAAAATATAACTGAATAAATGCTTTATAAATTTTGTTAATATTCTTGCTATTTTTTTCAAATGATAAACATTATAAATTTTTGCTGATGTTTCATTCTTGAGGAAGAAGATTAACAGAAATATTAGAAAATTCCTACCTCTATCTGCCTTAATTTGCTTTGTAAATCTCTGGCATTGTTCCTTAATATTTATCTGGGACCTTTGAAATGAAGTGCACAATTCCATCTCTTAAAGCTTTATTATTTTGCAGTGACTATTTTAACCTCAAGTTGTGAAGTATTTAATATTTCTGGAACCTTTTGTAACATTAATAAATCAAAAATTTTAGGACCCTTCATTTGCTTGATCCAATTCCAAGACTAGTTTTTCCTGTGACTAAGTTTTTATTTGTAATTTTTTTTTGTTTTCCTTAAAGAGAATTCCTAAACTAATATATGCTTCAAGTACCACAAAACCTGGATTCACATTGGGTAACATGTTTCTTTCATTATAGTATACAGTTAAAGAAGAACAGAACTATTAGGAGATATTAGGAGAATATGAATGAGTTACCTCCAAGAAAGGAACCCAATTAAATTGAAATGCTAAACTTTGAGAGATCAGGATTGGTGGAGACCAAGAGAGGATCTTTTAAATGTCAAGGCTATTAAATATGTCTTTACCATGTTAACAAAACAAAGTTTCTGTGCGTTTGCTGATTGACTAATTGTATGTGGGATTGTTGATTATTTAGGTAGCATTAGGCTGTTAAGAGGTGGTCTGCTATGTAAATGAGGGCCTTCTTTGAGATTAATGGATGGTCTTATGCAGCTGCTCCTGCTTTGTGAGGCTTGTGAGTTGGGGTCATGTAGTCTGGTTTATTCTGTACGATTGTCAGCAGGCTGGTGTCTTGGTCCAAGTTTATTAACACAGAATTCTCTGTCTTCCCCTTACTTTTTTTGTACTAATAGAGCTACTCCTTAAGAAATGTTGTCTTGCTTTTCTTTTATATATTTCATAAATATTGACATTCTTAGGATCCAAGCATCGAGCCATCACTGTTCTCCTTCCTTGACATCATTGTTTTCTGAATGACCTTGTACCTGTATATGGCTTCAGATTCTGACTAAATCAATTAATGATTCTCCCATGAAGAACATCTCCCTTGTTCTTTACTGTTTCCTTTGCATTCCTTTCTTTCCTCCTTCTTAGACTTTCCTTTTGGATTCATTTTTTATCTCTGCTATTATAAACTTTAGAAATTCTGTTAAGGAGATTCTGCTGGTGATAAAATCCTTTCTCTTATGCTTTCCTTTGTAATAATGTTCTTATTTTTCACTTATTCTTGAAAAACAGTTTTGTGTGCTGTCTTATTCTGGACTAGGGTTCTTTTATTTTTTTACTTACTTTCACCCATCTAAGGACTATATTTATTGCTACTGTCTTCCAAGTTACTATTGAAAATCAGTCATCATTCTAATTCTGGGTTTTTTGTAGGTAGTCTCTCTTTT